CTGCATCCCTGCTGGCTTGGCTGGGGAGGATGAAGGGTGTGATTTGTTTTGCTTTTGTATGTGTTAAAGGACTCATTTGATGGCTAGTAGTTGGGGGCTTAATCTGGGAGCTTCTCAGAAGTGATGTCATCTTAACCTGCTGTCTTTATGATTTAAAGAGAGGACTTGGTTGAAAACCCAAGGGTGGTGAATAAACGTGCAGGGTTTGTTGTAGGGTTTGCTGGTTGTGTGGGGTTTGGATTGTTGGGTGTCTTGAACTCTCTTCTCTTTTCCCCCCTCCCTCTTCACGTCTCGGCAAATGTTTTAATAAATGAGAAGCTGGGAAGTTTGTGCTTGGTCCAAAACTAATTTAAAATGGAGTAGCTCAGTCATGGGATGTTTCAGTTCATCTTTTTCTCGGTATAAGCTATACTAAAGATGAACTAGAATTTTACACATTGTAGTGCCTTTACTCAAGCACTAGAAGCCTTCAGAGAGCAAGCGAGTGAGCATTAAACATTAACTTTTATAATCAGAGACAGGTTCTCCCTCCAGGTGTTTGACAGTGATGCTTTTGGGGGGGGGGTGTTGTGTTGTTTGTTTTAATTGGCTGGCAGTATTTATTAAACAACAGATACTCTGCAGAATTTCTGAAGTGTCATGCAGCAGAGCTGGGTGGTATTTTTGGAAAGCCGAATGGTGGAGAGCAGACGGCCCACGCAGGAGGCCGTTACCAAAGAATTGTCTTCATATGCTCGGTGAAAATGTAATGCTGCTCGTGTACATTTTCTGTGAAATGTTGTTATAAAGTTAAGAAAGATTGTTTTCCCAATACAATCCTGAAGCTGAAATACAGTTATATTCCAACATAGCAAATCTACATTTTGTGCATAAATTACTGAAATATCTAGGAGTAGTGAAATACATGCTGTTAAACATGTCAAATCGGGTGATTAAATGACTGGATTGTTAGGAAGAAAATAGTAATTTTCTGAAAGAGCTAAATGAATTATTTGGCACAATGAACTGCAAACATTACCAAAAAAAAACTACTTCTGAGGTTTTTGATAGCTGAGGATCACGTTTTTATGCAGTACATATTAAAAACAGGAGGTATAAGTGAAAATATTGCAGATTTTCTCAAGTTAATTGACAAGCTCCTTTCTTCCACTGCAATTATTTTACCTGCTGACAGCTGAGTGGGTAGCTCTGCGTGGTTAGCGATCTCACATAACCAATATGTTAGCAGTCACTGCTGGTAAGTTGATTTTTTTTTTACGATAGTGAGACCACGTAAATACTTCCTAAGATAAACTGCTGCTCTGAAAGGACTTGGGTTTTCACATGAGTGACTGGACTGCGGATCAAGGAGCAGGTTCTGCTATGTGAGTGAGTTACTTGGATGTTATATATACACACCAAATGCTGGAGCCAAGTGAGACCAGTTTTAAATCAGTGGTGTTGGATTAGTACAGACGAAGGCTTTGTTCGGGCATCATCTTCACTACTTACGATGTGTGTTGATAGAGGGGATTGAATCAGTATAAGGGAGAGTCCAGTTTGACTCAAAGCCCAGGCTAAAATTTTTGAGCTAGCAATTTAAAAGAATTGTCTTATTTGTAGACTAAGCAAACTGGTGTATCAGTGATTTTGTGTCGATAAACACGCAAGCCTTGTGTGCCGTTTGTAGAAGCACTTTGAGAAAGACCATTTTTACCCTCTGTAGAGTACGCTGGAATCTCAGCTAAGTGGAGGCAGCTGGATAACTGTTTTCTTTGATCACAAAGTGCGTTCGGCTGAGCAGTGGTAACATGAAATCAGAAGTGAAATCCCAAGTCAAAAGTAAAGACCCTTCTTAACATTACTCAAACTTAAACTAAACTGTGACTTTGATGTTCCTGGGCTTCATGTTGAGTGCTTACTGAGGCCTGTCTCTGTGTTGTTAGTTCTGTACAGAAGTGAGGTCCAACCCCTGGGCGCACCAATAAAAATATTTTTAAGTAGAAGTTAACCCATAACTGGTTTTGCACGTTGCTTCATGCTGTAACTTGAGACACAGTTAATCTTTCTGTGTGTTCCCCTGCTGAAATGGGTGGTCTGTGGAAGTTGATTGATGTGACGCAAGCTGTGTTGGGAAGGAGATGAACTGATCTTTCCATACAGTCAGGTGTCCACAGGATGGTGGTGAAAATGAGAACTGGGATGAAAGGAGTCCTGGTGATCATTTCTGTCCTCATGCTAAGACCAGCGTCTCGCCTAAAGGTTCATTCTGTCCAAAGTGCTGTTTTGCTAAATCCCTGCTTCAGAATAACGTTGACGCAGCTGGTGTCATATTATCTGAGTTGAGTCATTCTTGTTGGCCATACCGAGTCCTCTGATATGGCAGAAAAGTGCTTTCAAAACACTGTTTCAAAACATGGTTTGTACGAGTGCTCAGCTTGGTCGTTATGTTTTAACAGGAGTTAGAAAGCAAGCTAGAAATCTTCAGCAAGCAAATCCCGGGTGGACTTCAGCTCCTGCACTGTCGGTCTCTGTCTTCTGTCCTCTCCTGCCCTTCTGTGTTCCCAAACCAAAAGTAGATGTAGATGTGCTAGCGGAAACTTGTGCAAGCGAGGCTTGCAGAGCTGACCAGAAACCTACCTCACATTCTCAGTTTTCTCTGCTAATTATGGCTTGTGCCATTAGAGTGAGCCACATCGTTGTCTGTCGTATTTATTTATACTTACTTCTGAAGTTCCATAAAGCCTGTTTTACCAGACTGACTAATTCAAAGCATTTGTTCAAATCACTAATGCCACATGAGTAGTAAAAGGCTCAACAAGGCAAACAAGGACCCGTTACTGGAAGGGCTGGGTGATCTAGTAACAGCAGACCCAGCTGAAGGGTCTTCAATGCTGTGTTTGCCTCAGCCTTCAGAAACAAGGACCCTCAGGCATCTCTGCTTGCTGAAAGGGTTCAAGAAGGGCAAAACCCACCAGCAGTGGATGAGGGTCAAGTCAGCAATTACTTATAAGAACTAAACCCATGCAAGTCTGTAACATGACTGCATCATAAGGGTGATCAGGAACCCCTGAGATCAAGAAACAAAAGACAAGAGCCAGCTAACTTTTTCCTGGCAAATTTTGCGATTTTCACGATGGGAGTACTTGCATGTGTGCACGTATTCACTGCTCCTCGTGCCTCCTTCAGGAGATAGTTGCTCCGGATGGAAATTGTAGCAGAGTTCTTGTTTAGGTACATTTTTGTCATTGAAGACGTGTGCTCCTGAGCAGCATGACTTCCTACAAAGCACGAGAGTCAGCGTCAGTATTTTTGATGCAGAATTTGCACTGCAGTGCCTGAGCTGTTCTTGCGTCTGAGTTTGGTGGTTGTAACTTCTGAACATGGCAACTTCAGAAAGTCAATTCTGTTACTTCTAATTAAAGAGTGTAACTTGCTACTGAGTAAGGAGATTATTTTTCAGCGTGGTGGAGGTCTTTGAGTAGCTCCATCACTGTTCTAGGGAGCAGCGATACCCTTTTCCGTGTATGCACATAAGTAAGGCAGGTTTTGCATCTGCAACTGTGAGGAATGTACTTTGGCTGACAAATGCAGCCTAGCTTAAAGGCGAGATCCCATAGTGGGTCTGTTAAGCTTTGTTGGTCTGCCAGACCAGATTATCATTTTATTTAACCAGAGAAGTAGTTTTCATTGTCACTGGATTGCCAAGGGTCTGTCAGCGTTTCCATTATAAACCCCCTATTTTCAGGGATTTGAGTAGACTTGAGATTTAAGTGTTCTGGTCTAAAACTTGGCAAGCAGGATCTGAGTTCACCAGCGGATATTTTCTTTATGAGATTTTAAAATAGTCAGCTGTTTCTTAAATTGTAGAGAAGGCGAGGGTTTTTTTTTCCTCTTGATTAAACAGATAGGGCTATTTTTTCCATCCTACTTATTCCAACTAGATCTATAAAACTACAACCCATTCTGTTTTTTTTAAAAAGAAGAAGCAGGGGGAACACAAAAGAAAAGCGAGACTCTGCCTGCTGTCTTGTTCTGTTTGCCACAGCATCACGCCTCAGAACCTTCCCTTTGCTTTGGTCTGTGTTTGGTGAAGTCCCACCCACCCTCTCTGTCCCTTTTCTCCTCCCCTTTACTTATTTCATTGCAGTGTATTTACACTCTCACTACATTAAATTGCAGTGTTTCTTCTCCTTACTGCATTCTTCCCCTTTGCCTTCCTCTCTGGAGCTTCCAGCACTCGCTTTTGATGTATCTGCCTTTTTTACCTCTCTCTAAAAGGCAACTCTGAGGGGTTCTTAAGTGATACGATGTACCTGTGGTAAATATAAACTCTAGGAATTGTCTTTATGTTGTATGTTACTCTGTTTATTTGATGTATTTTACTACTTAACTGAAGAACATAATGTGCGTGACTCTCAGTTGGGTATTGTGATTTTTTTAACACTTTTCTGAGACTTTGCTGGGACTCGAGTGAAGTACTTTCGCATTCTTTTGTGTTTTCAACCAAATCTTTAATGTAGACTGAAAAAAGTGAAGTGTGATTGGCGCAGAACACCACTGTGGGTTTTCATGGCTGGGCTCTCTTAGTCATTTCCTGAAAGCTTGGTGCAGAGATGTGACAGCGCAGGAAGCGGCAGCGAGCTTAGCAGGGCTGCATGTGCCGTTAGAAGTCGGCTTGCCAGAGGTGAGGGCACGTCCGTCTTGCTGAGATGTAGAAATACCTGGCTCTGGGATTGATGCTCAAGCTCTTCTGGAGGAGCCTCTGCTGTCTTGCAGTTCACAGCAGTGGACAAAGTGACTGCAGCATTAAAATGGTGAGTGAGGGACTACAGCTATATGATTCTTAAGTGACAAGGAATGCAAGTTAAGAGCTGAAATTCAAGGGCTGGAAAATGAGTGCTTTCAAAAAGCACTATAGTCTCTCTCCCAGGACCTTCAGAAGATCGTTGTCGGAACAAGATGCTGGCACTGCTGCCTTGAAGGACTATAATTGGTACCACCAAATGAAAAGCAAGAAGATGGATAAACAAATGAGTTCTGACACAGAGAAACCTCTCGGAGCATACAGGTGGCAGACGCATCCTTGGCTTCCTTGGAGGATAAGCAAAGGAGAGCACTTGTTCAGCCTGAGAGGGGAGGGCAATGAGCCAGGCCTGGCCAAAAGTTCTACAAGCGTGGATGCTACCAGTGCTGATGATCTCCGTGAAGACCCCACAGAGGCGCTTTTGCAAGCAAGGACTAGACCGTTCCAGGTTCCCTTCAAGCGATCTCTGTCTGAACCCGTGCCACACATTGGAAACAGGAATGCAAAGCCATTTCTGCAAGCCGTGCGTTTGGTGGACTCTGAGCAGCAGGGCTACTTCATCCGTGGCATTTTCTCCTCTCTCTCAAGTGGCTTTTCAAAGATAATGAGTCGAAAAGGGGAGCCTGACAGTGAGTCAGTAGATGAAGGGAAGACAGAAGATAGTCAAATCAGTTTGAGTACAGGTAATGAACTAATTTTTGTTCTCTTCTACTTCTGTTTGTGTAACAGGTGATTGTCATGAGACGTTCTTTGGGGCATATGATAGTTGTTTAAATTGGTTTTTAACTTAATTTTATTAACACGACATTGGCAACTCTGATATTCTGTCTGAAAACATGCAACTGAAAAAGGGCCTTTCCTGATTAGGAAGTGGTGTGAGCGGTTTTGGCCTGTGCTTAAAAACTTGGAGGTCCCTCTGAAACAAGCATCTTCTGGTGGAAGCAGTAGGATTTTTCTCTCAGATGTACCCCGGGCATGTGGTACATGCAGTCCTGCAAGCACGGTAGCCTCTGCAGCATTATGGTGCCCTGATTGAGATATCAAGCCTGCTGCTGTAAGCGAAGTACTAGGGGGAGAGAGAGAAATAAAGCTGTCTTTTTAAGCAGTGTTCAAGACAGTGGAACGGATCTAGTTCCTCATACCAGATTCACAGTGTTGTAATCAAATGGCTAAATTGATGTCTGCTCTCGGGTAGATGCCAAGGACAGCCGTGTTGCAAAGGTTTAGCCAGCTGGGATTGAGGTCAGCAAGATGCCAGTCTGAGATTTCATTTAAATCTGCCCTGCTGAGAACAACACGCATAAAGTAGAGGGGGTGGGGTTTTAAAAAAAAATGGAAAAGGGGCAAAATTTTCTTTCTGTTCCCGTGGTCTTTCCTGTAACTTCTTGGTGGGCTGCCCAGCCTGAACCAAGTAACTGATCCTTTCAAAAACACAAAGAAAAAAATAATTAAAAACCCCCAAAACTTTCCTTCTCCCCCCAATCTCGAGACTCCAGAGTCCTCCAGATTATTGTATTAAAAGCCTGATAACATCTGGATCCAGTTCAGACTGCTGGACAAGTCATCAGTATTCAAAAAATACACAGCTTAGTAGCAGTAGTGAAAGAAGAATGTACTCTATCTACAGGAATATTCTGTATTTTAGTCACAGTGGAATGTCCCTTACAGGTTTATGTTTGTGACTGGAAGCACATTGCTCTAAAACAAAAACAAATGGCCAAAAAGAAGAAATAACTAAGAACTGTATGTGTTCAGACCTAGTTACATACAGTCACTGATTTGGGTTTCTCGGAGACCTTTCTCGGTTGGAATTTGGATGGATGATGCTTGTTAAATAACATGAAATATGGGGGGGGGGGGAAGAAGTCATAGAATTACTTTTTAAAATTTTTTCTTCCCCCTTGCTCTCTGTTGAAGACTTGTTAAGGGGTTGGTTGGTTGTTTTTCTCTACGCATTCACATCAGAAACAAAGATTTCTACTGCAGGCTCCCACTGTTGTGGAGAGCTCCTGGGAGACTGAATTACTGTTGCAGGCTGCTTGGGACAGTTTTTCTCTTTGATCTCTTCTGCCCGCCAATATACATTGGCAAGCTATACTGGGAAGGCATTTTATGTGATATAAGCATTTTGGGTCAAAATCTCGCAGTATGTGAGAGGCAGAACATGCTGTAGTTCCTTTTTTTCCTCTCTTCTGGTGCACTTTGATGCCAAATGGTTCTCTCATAATTTGTAAGTATTGTCACTCAACTAGGTTACTGGGATGCTTTGCTTTGAATAGCATGAAAAGTAAACAGAGGAAAAGGATTATTTGTGAGAAGCCACCACTTGTAAATGCTTCATGTCAGTTACGGAACAATGACAGAGGCTTTTGGCTCTTTGGGGTCGGACAAACCTCTGTCTGAGCCTGCCAGAACTGGTTTTGCAGAGAGTCACAGTTCAGGAACTGAGAGAAGAACAACGGGATGCTAGATTAAAAGTCGAACTCTCTCGAGGGAGGAGCTCGTAGGTGGGCAGGTGTTTGGGGGAACAAGGCTGATGCAGTCACCCACAAAATCGCCTGAAACAGCCAGGTCCTGCTCGGGCTGCTGTTGCGGGACCACGGAGCTTTTGGTGGGATGGACACCTCCGTGGAATTCCTTTTCAGCCTTTGCCTGCTCAAAGGTTCATCCTCTGTTCTGCAAGCAGACAGCAGTTTAGGTTTAAGAGAAGTAGTTCACCCTGCAAAACATGCTGCTGTGTGGCATATCTAGACACAGGACAGCTAGTTGCTTGCCACTGGTTTTATTTTTCCTTAAAGAAGAGCTGCTTTTGCTAGAGTTAGCTGGAGCTGATGGGTGGTAGGGTCTCCTGCCCCACACAGTACTGTAGACCTGATGAAACCGGGGCACAGCTTGTGAGCTCCTGGGGTTTTAGATTGTGGGTCTGAGGGAAGTAACTTGGAGACAAAAGGGGTGAGAGAAATATACCTAGTCTGTCATATTCTTCAACCACAGTCTAGATGCTCAGAAGTGATGAAATCTTCTGTTCTCCTTCCAAATACCACCTGAGTTTAGCTGGGGGGGGAGGGTGTCACCGAATTGTCCACTGGCAGTTTTGGTGCTTGGGCAGGCAGAAGGTATCTTCCCATGCCTACAGTCCAGTCCTGTCTACTGTTCAAGGAAAAATCCAAGAATGTGTTCTGTTTTCCTCTCCAGGAGAGGCAGAATTTGGGAATCCTCAGGCAACTGAAGGCCATGGTAAAAGTGCTCAGGCACTTTGTTAGCCGAGAGATGGTGTGAGACATGGGGTTTCTCCAGTGTGCAGACAGTTTAACTTCGAAGAGCTTGATCGAAAGTCTCCCAAGAAACATCTGTTTGGACAGAAATGCCTGTCACTGTGACCCAAACCCAAGAGGAGCTTTTCTGTGTTGGGAAATACACAGTGGGAGAGGCGTGCTGTGGAGTTCAACCAAGTGAACCTGGAGACATGGTTTCTGTCTCGCTTCTGTCCAAGGAGCCAAGCCCCTTACTTCCACAAGCTCATGTCATTAAAAGTATTTCTACTTTCCTCTGAAATACTTGCAGATTATCAACTTTGTAAAAGATTCTCTTTCTTCCAACGCTTGCCTGGCCTCTGGTGTTTTGCTTCATCTCTGCACCAGAACTGGAGAGGCTGGGTCGCCTGCGTGGGTTTGGGTGGCGATTGGCGGAGTTTGCTACTGATTTTTGTAAGCTGAGGGAAGAGCAGTTCACTTCTGCAGGACATAGTTGCCTCCCAAAAGAGGATCGGTTGGTTTTTTGGCAACTTGAAGAGGGAAGTGGGATTTTTAAAAAAAATAATAATTAAAAAAAAAATCTGGTTAAATATTTTCCAGCTGGCCTCAGAGTCTAGGAAGCATGTTCAGACACTGCTTCATCGGTTCTTGGCTGTAGAACTCCCTCCTGGATGGACTCACTCGTCCTCTTTGGTGATGGAAGGATGCTGGACTGGGGAGAAGTGCCTCTTTCGGCCCTGGGCAGGGCTTTGGCGAGGTGCGGCGACTCCCCAGCGTGTGGCACGCGTTCTGCGGCACGGGCTGTAGGAGGAAGAGGACGGACAGGGTGGCCGGTTGGTGGGAAGAGTGGAGCCCTTTCCTGGTGTGCTGTGTGGGTCTTCGCCGGAGAAGCCTGCGCCAGGTTTGGCTGTGAATGAAGGGCTTTTGGTGCACATGTGCTGACATCGAACCACTTCTGAAGCTAGGCGCTTGGAACCAGTGTTCAAATTAGCATATGCAAAGCATGGAGGTAAAAGGATATGCACTTAGTCTTATTATTTATTAACTTCAGAAATGTAAGAACATTTTAATTTCTAATGAATGTGTCAACTTGAGGAAGGAGAAGTGTCATTCTGATCAACTTGTTGGTTGCGAACACACCATGATTTCGGTAGAAACAAGATAAGGAAGGAGCAATGCAGACAAAGCCTTGGATCCAAGGGGTGTGGGTGAGCTGCTGCACCTTTTTTTATTATTTCTGTGTATTACCAGTGACCTGTTAACACTGTTGAGAATGGGTTTGCGAGAGAGTTCTCAGATAACATTTAATTCGCTGTTCTTGCTTATCTGGATCTCAGGACAGTGCGAGTTTAATTGTGGATTGATGACAAAATAATTCTTCAGTAGAACCAATTACCTGTATCTTCCCTTGGTATCTCTGGTTTGGTTTGGGGGAGGGAGAGGGTGAACACTGATTTCTTTTATTCAGTGTGCATTTAGCTTTCACGGTCACTCTTGTGTTCCAATTTTTATCAATTCAGAATTATTTTCTTCTTTCTTCACCGGGATGAAGATATGTTTCTTCAGTCCTTTAACTTTGATTTTATGCTTTAATTCATTTTATAGAGTTTTTTGTACCTAGAGTGAGAGAATATTATATATTCTTACTTTTCTGGAATTGATTTTGTTTTTTTATAATTCACTAAAGTTATTAAAATGCTATGCCCTTTTTAATGTCTTTACAGTCTAGATTAATAAAAATCTATTTCTTCTATCTTTCCATATAAACTTATTTAGAGATTTATATTTCCCATTTATAACTCAAATTAAAGCTGAGGCAGTTCAACATTCAGTTTCTTCAGCGATTCCCAAAGTACAAAACTACTTTTTCCTGTCTGAGATGGGAATTCAGTATTTATTACTCATTGGAGCAGCTTTTCTGTTTTCATGTTTTTAAAACCACTTTCTCATTTTAGAAGTCCTTCTACTGACTCATGTTCTTCCACCCCCAAATCTCTTTTGCTCTTAAGTAGTTTATTTTTGGTGGGGTTTTTATTAGGGAACTTTTAGACAATTGAGCTTATTCTGTAATTCATGTGTTCAGTTAAGTGCTGTGCAAATATCAGTTTATGGTCCTTCTGCTACAATCCCCTATGTTTTGTTGCAAGGTGTAGTCTTACCGTTAAAAGTCATTCAGCTTTAATTGTCAGGACAGATTCAAGATAGCTGCTTCTGCCTAATCCCTACGTTGCATTAAAATGACTGTAGGGTTTTTTTAGGGTTATAACTAGGAAAATAACAGGTTGCAGTGCAGAGTCAGTTTGTCTTTTTTCACCTGTAATGTGGCTTTGTGGTAGTATATATCGTGTTACGTGGATAGTGAAAATTCCAGGAGGATGGGGCTGCACAGAGGAGCGTTGCGGGCATTTGACAGCCTTGATTATCACTTC